ATTTTTTCCTTCCACTCACTCCACCATCAACCCCCTATTTTACCCTGCCATACTCATCTCAGCTTCAACCCTTCTTTTTTTTCCTTCCACTCACCCCACCATCAACCCCCTATTTTACCCTGCAACACTCATCCCAGCTTCAACCCTTCATTTTTTTCCTTGCACTCATTTAACCATCAACCCTCTATTTTACCCTGCCAGACTCATCCCAGCTTCAACCCTTCTTTTTTTTCCTTCCACTCATTTAACCATCAACCCTCTATTTTACCCTGCCAGACTCATCCCACCGTCAACCCTCATTTTCCCCATGACTCATTCCACCCTCAACCATCATTTTTGCCGAATGAATTCATCCCACCATGAATCCCCTTTGCACCCTGGCACACTCTTCCCACCCTCAACCCCTAATTTTTTTCCCATGCACTGAGTTCACCCTTCTATTTTTATTTTTTTCCAATGCACTGATTGGACTCCGCAACTCCGTCTAATCATTCCGTGAATCAATCTACATACACCTGTGGACCCTTTTTCACCCCATCGGCCATCTTGAAAGAGGGTTAGTGAGGGTGGAAAACAAAGGTTAAAATGTATAGGTACAGATCGACTCAGAATCACCCCCTGAGTCGATTTACCCATCCCTGTAAAGACTTTTTTTTTACTCCATCGGTCATTTTGAAGAAGGGTTAATGAGGGTGAAAAAAAAGGTCGAAACTTATAGGTACAGATCGACTCAGAAACACCCCCTGAGTCGATGTACCCACCCCTGTAAAGACTTTTTTTTTATCCCATCGGTCACTTTGAGGGAGGGTTAGTGAGAGTGAAAAAAAAGGTCGAAATTTATAGGTACAGATCGACTCAGAAACACCCCCCGAGTTGATGTACCCACCCCTGTAAAGACTTTTTTTTTATCCCATCGATCATTTTGAGGGAGGCTTAGTGAGGGTGAAAAAAAAGGTCGAAATTTATAGGTACAGATCGACTCAGAGTCACCTACTGAGTCGATTTACCCACCCCAGTAAAGCCTTTTTTTTTCATCCCATCGGCCATTTTGAGGGAGGGTTACTGAGGGTGAAAAAAAAATGTCGAAATTTATAGGTACAGATCGACTCAGAATCATCCCCTGAGTCGATTTACCTACCCCTGTAAATACTTTTTTTTCATCCCATCGGTCATTTTGGGGGAGGGTTAGTGAGGGTGAAAAAAAAGCTCGAAATTTATAGGTACAGATCGACTCAGAATCACCCCCTGAGTCGATTTAGTTACCCCTGTAGAGACTTTT